TATCATCCTTTAGAATGTGTTTGCATATTTAATTACGTGTTTTGATGCCTATTTGATGAAACGCCATTGCTAGGGTTTATAAGGTCGTTTTAGGGCTTTCAAATTCAGGAACAATTGGCTCTAAAGATGGATACCATCATGATCAGAGGATCAAACCCAATTGATCCATGGTCTTGAATCTAATTAAAGTTGCTTAACCATGATTTTTGAGATGCACAGGTTATAGCTACAGACAACGTCTGTAGGTAAAAGTCTTTGCCTAAGACAACAGTCTCAGCAAGAAGATGATTGCATGGCGAGGCGTGAGTGGCCCATTTGAATCTCATGCATTTTAATTATTGCACTGGCTTTTCATTCTATATAATATATTGTTTGCGTTATATAAATGATTGAAACAAATGGTCTAGTGGAAAGAGGCAAGGCTTTGCAAGGTGCGCGTGTAGGAGGTCAAGGGTTTGATCCCTGCCTCCTACATCTTATTTTTCTTAATATTTTCCATAGGATCTAGCGCGCAGCATCCAAAGAGGACTATCATGAAACTCCTAAATTCAGCCATCAGATCATCATTAATCCAGATCCAATGGTCCAGCAAAGGCAGTCCATGGTGCGCACTACAGAAATCGGCATCATTGGATTCATATGCAGGTAGATGGGCCATCAGCTTTGGGCTTTGTCAAATTCCAGCAATACACCCCCCAGTTTTGCTCATCACATCAGGCCCACTTTAATTTTTTTTTAAATTTCTTTTATTTGTTTTAGTTATTTGATTTAATTATTTTTACAAAAAAAATCATTATTTTTTTAAACTAAATCATAAAATCAATAAAAACACAAAAACATTAGAATTAGGTATTTTTCATAAAAATATTTAATTTCATTAATTAATTATGTTAATTAGGATAATTTAAATTCCTTTTTCATAATTAAAGTTAATTAGAAATTAGGTTAATTTGCAAAATTAATTACTTTCTCAAAATCCAAAAAATATTTTTCTTTATTCACTGATTAGATGTCTTTGAATTTAATTGTTAATTCCCCGTATTTAATTTTGTCGCGCGTATTCTTTTTAAATTAGGTCATTTACTGTCGTTCTCTATTTACTGTTTAATCCCCAAAGTTTTTGGTCATGTAATCCCCATTTCCCGAAGCCTTGTAATAATTAGATTTACTTTTCCGCTTTTACTTTCTGCAGATATATAAACTGTTTAGATGTATGCGTAGGATTGTATGCAAAATATCAATAATTTGAAAGAGTAGAAAACCATAATTCTGCAAAGATAAATAACTGAAAAACAATCACACACACACTTGCACCCCTAGGGTATTACCTCACTTGGTTTCCTTCGAAACAATGGTCATGTCCCTCAAATGTAGGGATATCTTAGCAAAGACCCGCAATTCAAAAAAATCATCATAAAAGATCATTGTCCCTTACTGTCCCTCGAGTTGCCTACGAGAAATGATCTTATGATGATAGTCCCTTCGAAATTCTAAGGTATCCTTACATGTTGCCTTCAATGAACATTTCGTCCCTTTCGATAGTCCCTCAACATCCAACGGCTAGGGTTACCTACTCACTAATAGTAGGATAACACGGTCTAAAGGATAGGAGGAAAAGAACGCCTTTTTTCGAGTAGGTAGATAACTGTTAGGTACTTGCTCAAAATAATCTTTTTACACCATACACTTTCGAACATACTTTTCAAACAAAAAATTTCAAAAACGCTTTATCACACTCTTGAGGACTGATACAAGAGTTAACATAAAGTGAATCGTCGCACTAAGGCATTTTTAAAGCTTTTCAAAACACACAGACGCGAAAGAAATTTTATAAATGAGCAAGTACCTAAGAGCCCATGGAAAACCATGGATGGAAAGGGTGTTAACACCTTCCCTTTCCATAATCTATCTCCCTTACTCAAAATCTCGAAAAAAGGTCTTTTTCTGTTCTTTTCACCCTTTCCTTTGTTGGATAAAAGAAAAGCCGGTGGCGACTCTTGTTTACCACGATATTTGCGAACAAAAAACGCAAACCAGTATTAAACAGTCGGTTTTGCCACCGTATCACAATAGTACTTAAAAGTATATTATGTTTAAAAAATATAATTTTTTTATTTTAATTTTTTTATTAAAAAAGTCTATTTAGGGACGGAGAGTCCGAAGCCCATCTTGGGCCGGGTTCGGGTAGTAATTTTCAGCTCTATATTATAATAGGGCTTTTTGGCGCGGCCCTAAAAAGCCCGAGACCCGCCATGGCTGACCCCTTCAGGGCCGGATAGCCCATTTTGACAACTCAACACACATATATACATTTGTTTCTATTTTTTATTTGTTTTGTTTCATGTTCCTCTTATTTTTAACTTAAACTTTTTAATTCATATTTTGCATTTCTCTTTGTTGAATTTGTTGTAGTCATCAGTATAAATTAAACCCTACTATGAGTATAGGATTTTACCTCGGTTGAATTAGGAATTCTATTTTGGTTGGGTGGGTGAGGTAACATAATATGTAATGGAAAATTTGTTATTTTTTTCTCGGTCTATTTGGCTGAGGTGAAAAAGTGACAATGCGTTATTATCCCCCTCAGTTGGATATGTTAACTGAGGTGAAAATCCTACTCTTACTTTCAATTGGTTTTTATAACTGAGGCGATTAGATGAATATTTTCATTAGGGAAATGGTTTTTACCTCATTTGGGAGTTTCAACTCTCAATCGGGGAAAAGTCTCTTCTTTTTTTTAAATGCACTTTTTTTTTAATTTTACATAATTTTCTTTTTAACCAGCATTTTTCTAAACAAAACCTATAATACACATATTGTGATATAGAACCAAATGACACATTTGTGAAATAAAATTATATACATATATTATATATGTACCAAAATACATTGTTTATATCAAAACCAAAATGACACATATTATTATTGTCACAAAAAAATTAAAATATACAAATGGAAACAACAAGGCAACAATCAAGGGAAATTAGTTTGCTTGTAAATAAATAAAAAATCTAGGAAGCAAGCTTCCCAACGTGGACGAACGTCATTTATATCTTTTTGATATTCAGTCATTAAACACATATGATTAAACAAAATTTAAATTCGATTAACATAAATATAACAACAACAACATTAAGCCTCCAATCTCCACAACAACAACATTAAACATTTTCTAGCTAACAACAAAAACATTAACTTTTCTTACTTAGAAACTAACATAAATAAGTTACATGCATATGGATAAAGTGATTAACTCCTTTCGTGAATCAGTTATACCTCTAAAAACAATATTCAACATCTATTTCATAATATAATATCCACACTTGTATCTTTTTGGTTGTTGTCTCATCTACATATAATTTTTATATAGTGATTAGTACACACAAAAAGCACAAGTATTACAATAGTGAAAATAAAATAATGTAACAAATAACACCACTTAGTTTTGGAAAAATAAATTTTGGCTTTCTATTTTAAAAAACACGACACATATTGTATCTCTCCAAAACTCTAAGTGTTGAAAAAATCTAACATAAATAAAAATATTCCAAAGAAAAGTAAACATTTTAGTATTATTATTATGTTCTAGAGCCAAAAATGGAGTGATGATCGAAAGTGATGATTGTTCTGAGATTTTGGTGTAGTGTAGAAAAATGACTTGAAAGTTATCACTCCAACTCTAAAGTCATTATGTGAGGAAGTAGAGTGAATTGAAATTGTGTTTGAAAACTTTTCACTTGAATTTGGGGCATTCTCTGTATATAACATAGAGAGAATAACAAACTCATTATTAGTTAGGAGTAAATTGCAGAGAGGCGTTGAATACACTTGTAGTTGATATCTTTGTTAACATCGTGAGGAAAGATATTATTCTAAGAAGATTTAAGAAGTAGTATTATTCCATCAGAGTCGTCGACCGGGGTAGATATAACCGACCCATAACATTTGTCCCCCAAGCTCATGTCCATGCTCGACAAGGCGGCAGTTTGTTACTTCAACCTCAGTTTTTGACCACTCTTGCCTTTAAATTTGGAAGAGAAAAAGACAATATTTCATTCCTTTGGGACTTCATACATTTAATGCTCCATACTTAAAACATATTTTCAGAAGCGTCATCATTATGACTCTTGGAACTCGAGATACTTGAGTGTTGCGTGCGAATGATTTGATGCTTTTAAAAGAGTCTATTTTGTTTTACATGCAATAATATAGTCCTAAAAGAGTCATTGTTTCCTTCTTTGAAACATTTTCCCAATTTAGAAATTATCTTCTTCTTTGGTATTTCACATTCCTGCGTCTGAAAATTTAGTGTAATATGGGTAAAAAATCATAGAAGACTGATCATATATCCTAGAAGGATGCTCCATCCTCTTGGGGGAACTCCGTTTATTCTTCTACCATTTATTCTTTCACTAAAGTAGGTGTTCTACCTTTTTATTGGGGAGTCTCAAGTCCCACTAATAATGTAAGGAGATGTATGAAGTATGGTGATTATGCCATTCCATTTTATGAGTCAACTTTCTTTGTTCTCGGTTATCGAATACCGTTTACTACCTTTGAGATAAAAGCCTGAAGCATCTGGGGATGGCTCCTTCGGAACTTCATCCTACATGTTAGGGATACATGAAGGTTTACTAGTAGTATTGGTGTGAATATCTGAAAGGAAAGCATTATGTGACCCTTTTATTTTATCTCTTTAAATATCATTGTAGTTTTGTGGCTCGAGGGTATAAAATATGGTTAATTTACTTGAAACTAACCGTGTGTGGCCTTGGGCCTCTTCTTGAGCTAAAACCTTTTGAAGAGCGGTTCTTTCTGGTCACTCCCATCGGCCCCAAAGCTCATACCGCAGTTTACGCATTGGAGATGAAATGGAGGTACGGTGTTCTAAGAAGTTTCCCAAGTATTGCATTGAAAGTCATTTCCTTATAAGGAACTTTGTGTATGTATATAAATAAGGGGATCTTTTTTATGAGGCTCTATATCAGAAGAAGCAGTTGATGAGCTTCATCAATGATTTAGGTTACCATGGAGGAGGTACCCCCATAGAAGAGGCCGATCAGAAACATTTGTAGCGCCTCATTGATGTTCATTTGTTGTTAGAGGCCCGGTCTCAAGAGGAAATAAATGTCATCTTTGGTAAGCTCTAGAAACTCTTGACTTTTTGGTCTTTAATATGCCTGTTGATGTTTTATTTATTCTAACATTGTTTATAATGGTGTGTAGATCATATGAATGATGAAGTAAATATTCACCTTTTGAGGCGAGGAATATAATCAGTTGAGTGTGACGTTGCTTTTGGTACTTTTCTAATGTTACCGATTGTATAGGTCTTTCCCGATCGTCTATTGCTGACGGGTTCAAGTTCAAGGTTCTCGAGAGACCGTCAGACCCCTTCCTTGGAAGAGGAATTCACATATTCTTCCATCCAATCAATGCATACCTTGGAGGAGGAACTGCAAACTTTGGCTCGGTATATCTGGTATGGTTAAACTACTTTTACCCTTGGCAGAGTTGGTCGTTGTGAGTATCTTTGGTCCGATGGACACCGTGCTTGTAACACCATAAAAACCCCGCACTTAATATTACAAAATAAAGCATATATAATATAAGAAAATCTATATGAGAAATAAGGTGTTACAGTGCTGAGAAGAAACAACTTAAGGAGAGCGTTTGTAACCTGAAGCTTCAGTGGGATAATTACCTGTAGGAAATAGATAAATCTACCACATCTCTTACCGAGGTAAAGGCTGATTTACTCCTCTTTAATCTTTATAGGTCTCTTGCTAAATAAGTGACCCGTCTAGTGAATATTGTGTCGAAGAATAACCATACTTTGACTTCTATTTGGGGAAGTTTATCATATGATCAGTGGGAATCAAAGTTCTCGCACCTTCAGAATGCTTCTCTAACTAAGCAATTTACCGACTGTACGAGTTCTATCGTTGAGGATGTTTTGCATTAGTTTGAGAATGCTTTTTAGAAAGTGGAGCATTTTCATTTCCTTATGGTTGTCTTGAGACATAAAATACAGCATATCAAATACTTAAAGATAGAGAGGTCATTTACTTATGAAAATATCTCTCCCGACCATTGTTTTATGTACCTCATCACTAGTGCAGAAATGACTTTTTACATCGGGTGAAACTGACTTTTTACATCGGTTCTGGGTCCGATGTAAAGTCAGGCGATATAGTAAATCGGGAACTTTTTACATCGGTTCTGGGACCGATGTAAAAAGTCCCCTTTTTACATCGGTTATAATATAAGAATGATGTAAGAAACAGTTATTACAATATTTTAAAAAAAATTGATCCAATTTTTTACATCGGTTGGAAGTAATACCCCATGTAAAAAGTATCCTTTTTACATCGGTTATAATATAAGAATGATGTAAGAAACAGTTATTACAATATTTTAAAAAAATTGATCCGATTTTTTACATCGGTTGGAAGTAATACCCGATGTAAAAAGTCTCTAGTGACGTAACTTTTTACATTGGTTATTACTCCCAACCCATGTAAAAAGTACCTTTTTGAAAGTTTTTACATCAGTTTTGAGTAATAACCGATGTAAAATGTATGAAATTTTTTGGGAATAGATTATTTATTTTCTGGATGTTTCCCTGTACAAATATAATTTGTACCCATTTTTTCATATTTTTCCAATATCACACAGACTATATTTATGTCGCTATATAGATTTCATAGCTTTCCAACATCACGTAGACCACATCTAGGTCGATGTTTTTCAGATTTTTCACAAAAAACTTACAAATTAAACAATTGTATTGCAAACTTGTATTTTATTACAACAAACAAACTCACAACAAACTTACAATTACAAATTCTTCACAAAATATACAAAAATATTCAACTATTTATAAGTCTTTTTCAAAACTTACAATTACATATTATTCACAAAATATACAAAAATATTCAACTATTTCTAAGTTTCCAAACTTCAATTACCAATATAAAATCTTCGGTAGACAACACCAAAATCACATTGCCTGACAATAAATAATAACAATTAACATCAGCAAAAAAAATCAAGAAACTCAATACATGTGCAAACACATGTATTGTGAAAAAACCACAACTTATACAATTATATAAAACTCACCAAGATAAACTTAATGTTCATGTAACTCAAAGAAACATTTTGTCCAACGAAGTCGCAAATCATACAAATTATCTGATGTTAATTCTGTTGGGTCATCAAATACCTATAATACATAAATATAACAATATAGGGTTATTTTTTAAAAATTCATATTAAGTCGAAAAACAAAAAGTAAATAACAAAGTAAAGTTATTTTTAGTACTTGCATCCAATTCTCGGTTATATTAGCAGAGACAATATCCAACATATTTTTCATCACATAGTATCCACAATCATTAGAGTTATGTTGTTGCCTTGTCTACAATTGAATGACATAATTAGTGAATATTTATCATAAATTTAACTATAGAATTACAATTTACATCACACTTACATTGGGATGAAGCCATGTAGCCTTTTTTCTATTTCCATTTGCCATTTGATGAATCCCAAAAGAACTAATACAGAAAGATAAACATCACATAACTAAATTTACTCGCCAATGAAAAATCACATAACTATTAGTTGTCAATGAAAGTCACATGAAAGATAAACTTACTTTGTAATAATTTTCTTCGTGTGATGGTCAATTTCCCGATGAAGTGAACAAAATACGACAACTAAATTGTCTCTTGGACACATGACTATTAATTGCCAATGTCTCATGTACGTGTGTGTGGAAACAGAAAAGTCACATAAAATATATGTGTTATCAAAATTAAATAATATAAAACACAATTTCATAAAAATTCTTACCCATGAATTAATGGTAGTAAGTGGCACACTCTGTTTTCATCACATAACTTTTCTAGTACGTAATTTTTAACATCTTCTTGAGATTTTGCTACATTATCATTATAAATACACCTAGCAGGGTCCATAAATCCATATAATTCTGAAATGGAATTCTCAAGACAAACACGATGAATATACCTGAATAATTTTAAAATAAACATTAGAATTAAAGTGATGAGAGATATAACATATTAATAGAGATTGACTTTAATAAAACAATAAAATGTACTTACGTGCACCAAATTTGCAGAATAGACACGTCAAGCCAATGATCTAAACCCACCAATAACTCTCTGATACATTTAGCTGAAACATAAAAATTAGAGACACTCGCACAATGACTTAATTGTATTGCCAAATGGTTATCATCCATTTTCAAAACCATGAGTAACAATCTCTGAACATCATCAACTTCCACGTCTTTTGTGCTTTCTTTTGTGCTTCCCTTTGCAGTTGAACAACTTCCTTTTCTGCTTCCATCGATAATTTCCAATTTTTCAATGCATTTATTATCACCTGTGCTTTGTGATAAACCCATAGACTTAAGTGTCTCTATTAATGATTGTTGAAACATCTTACGCTCTTCAACCAACTTTTCTTCAAGTTCAGCTCTAAGTTTTGTTTCCAATATTGCAAGTTGTTCATTTACGTCAATATGTTGACGTGATCTTCCAAAGTAAGTGCTTTGTTTATGGTGTTTTTCAACACCACGAACACGACCTCCATGCTCAGATGTTCCAATGGCTAATGATAAGATATCGTTACGTCCATCGGGAACAATTGCACCTTTTTCAGCTTCTTGAACTAGAGAATCCAACAAAATGCAAAAACATTAATTAATCAATCACAAATATAATGATACTTGAATAATTTTTCGTTGTTTACTTACAATTTTTTCAGCAACCTCTTGTGTAGATTTTGATGTGTATTCTCCTCATTTCTTTTGTCGTGCTCTCTTCCATAACTCATGGCGTGATGGTAGAGATGGACTATCATTATCATCTAATGTGGAATTATCTCTCGATGATGACTTTTCTTTCATAATTTTCTCCTCAAGCAAGCGATACCCTCCACGAGACAATACATGTGGGTATACATTCTTGGCCACATTATCCTTACCCTTCTGACTTTTTTCCTATTATAAACTCAAACAAGTAATTAATCACTAAATATAATAAAAATGTTATGCATACAAAATCATATAACTCCTACTAACCTTAAATTCAGGGGTATCTCGAATCTTGAGAAACTCTTTCCATGCGTCTTCCTTAATAAAGTTATACTTGACATATGGAGGAGGATCATTTTATATGGGATGATGAATATATATATATATATATATATATATATATATATATATATATATATATATATATATATATATATATATATATATATATATATATATATATATATATATATATATATATATATATATATATATATATATATATATATATATGTGTGTGTGAGTTGTGTCTTAAAACCTTTCCATCGCTCTCCCGCATATTTAATCAATTCTTTCTTCAACCTATCCTTCTTTGGATCTTTACATTCTAGAATAGTAAAATGAGCCTACAAATATAGTATATGTCATATGTTGTTAATTAGTATATGATTATAAAATATAATAAAGTATTGTATTTAAAATACCTGAATATCAGTCCAAATAACATCTTTTACGCCTTCATCTACTTCTTTCCAATCATTTTTCACAATACTACAATACTGTCGAGCAAGAGATGCTATATAACTCTTGAAATGTGTAGCATTTTTACCAACACCAATACATTCATAGGTTCTTGCATTAAACTCTACCTTTATCTTTTCACCTGTTTGATGAACTTTGTCCATTTGTGTCATTAAAGTGGGACCTCTAACTCTTCTTTTATTGGGGTTTGAATCACCCATGTATCTGTTTACACAAAACAAAAATAATGAGAAATAATATTATGCAAAAAATAAAAACAATTAGAAATAAAATTAAGCACAAAATAAAAACAATTAGAAATAAAATTAAGCACAAAATAAAAACAATTAGAAAATAAAGTAACGTGGAATTAACTTATACAAAAAATCTTACTAGTCCTCCCATATCCCTTCTTCATGGTCTATGCGAATAGCATGCACATCATCCCCTTCATTTTCTTTAATGAATGTAGTTACATTTGTTGAGAAAGGATGAGTTTCAGAAATATCAAGATTCTCATCATGATTTTCATCACTATCATGGACCTTTCCTTGAAAAACCACTGACCACTTTTTATTAGTAGGATCTGTGACATAAAACACTTGTTTTGCTTGAGATGCCATGATAAATGGTTTGTTCTCATAAGCTAACTTGCTAAGATCAACCAGTGTAACTCCAAATTCATCGATTCTGACACCACTGTTGATATCAATCCATTTGCATTTAAATACAGGAACTTTAAACACAACATAATTAACTTCCCAAATCTCTTCAATCACCCCAAAGTACGGTGTAGATGCCATAACCGGGTTTTTATATTTAGCACTAGAGAAGTGCATGGACTCGGCCACAATCATTACCCCACTATTTTGCGTGGTACTACGGTCATCCTTTGACTTCGTATAAAAAGAGGTTTTATTAATATCATATCCACTCCA